CAGCATGTGGCGTGTTCAGACGAGCTCCGTCCTATCTTTCGTGCTTAAAATTATTGCAGGCGATGTTTGCCGGAGGGATGTCGTCCTTTTCAGACAACGCATATTTAAGGGGTGAGCCTCGGTCATGATCTCGCTCTTCTTCCAGTCCTGCCTGTTTCGCAAATGACCTTAATCCGCCTTCGCATCGCATTGAATGGTCCTTGCAGACACAGCAAGAAGTCGAAGTGCCTTGGGTGTCGGATGGTAGCAGGTAGAGTGGTCATGGAGAGCTATGGTGAAAAGAGGCAACAGCACACCTTCACGGTAAGCACCTCGTGTTTCCATCACTGTCAGATGGTAACAAGGAATATTGCTACCGCTCATTACTTTTTTATCCCCTTTTTGCTCTGCTAATCCGTTTTCTTTGTTTTCTGCTCTCAGGTGGAGGTGATTTGGAGCACTGGGCTACAGGCGCTACCGCCTATGAAGCAGCTTCTTGTAAAGGGGAGATTTCTGTACAAACACAAAACGTTTCGACAAGTAAGCTTGTCAACGGATCTCCTCAAGAAAACACATTCGCGGCTGTACACCTGTTCCAAAGGCTCAAGCTTTCTCCCTTCTTCTCAACAATCTCAGGAAAACACTGTTTTGGGGCACCTGCTGAAAAGGCTCATGCTTTCTCTGTCCCTCTCAACGGTTTTCTCCTGCGATGATTGCTTAGGGTCCTCCTGACCAATCTCCTTCAACCCCTGTCCTTTGTGATCGCAGAGATGGGCTAATGAGGCAGAGCGAGTTGCCGTGATTGGAGAGAAGCACGCACGAGGAGACAAAGCTCGCAGTGTTCGTCGAAAGAGGCTAGGAATAAGGACACCCACAAGACGATTGCCAGGGCGACCAGGTTTTCCCAACAATAATTATGCTCACTTAGGCAGCAGGAGACCAGATCATATGGCAGGTAGCAACACGATGTGGGCTCCGCCAGGGATGGCGTTGTCTGGAGCAGGTGTTCTTGGCAGATACCCTGCATTGTGTGATACTGGTGGTGGAGTTTATTCTGGTCACTCTGGAAGAATGGCAGAGGGAGAAGCAGCAGTAGCAGCAATGCAGAGACTGGTGGTACGTGCAGATGGAGAGAAAAGGGAGGTGCGTTCGGCCGCTGAGTCTGGTATGACAAGGACAGGAAGTGGAAAGAGCAACTATTATGTGAATAGCGGAAAGTCTGATCAGGGGAAGGGAAGCGAGGCGGTCAGGGAGGCACAGTTTCCGTTGAGTTCCTTGTCAGTCAATGCAGGCACAGTCAGGTGCCAGTCGAGAAGCAAGGAAATGGACAGAAAGGGCCTGGGCCATGGTGGGCAAGTGCAGGGTGCTGCGGGTGGTCGAGAGTCAGCCGGGGACAAAGAGTATCGGTGCTCCAAGCATGTGACCTGCACGTCTTCTGATCACCACCACCATCACCACCAGCAGCGAACTCACTCTCAGCAGGGTTACAGCATGCAGCCTCGACATGGTGACGTTGCGAAGGGGAAGTACGGGGCTGCAAGCCCACGGGCAAGCAGGAACGTTGAGATGAAGAGGATGTATCAACAGGGAAGGAGCATGTGGGGTGAGAGCAGGGCCCCTGTTGTTCGGGAGCAGGATCTCTGGCAGCTGCATCACCAGCAGCAGCAGCAGCAGTACCTGCCTCAGCAGGAACATCAGCAGCAGCAACAGCAGCAGCAGCAGCAGCAGCAGCAGCAGCAGCAGTATGTGCACCACGAGCAAAATCAGGTTCAGCTGCAAACTTCGTATCCACAGCAACAGTCTTTTCAGCAGCCACAGTCATACCAGCAGCACCAGCAGTACCAGCAACCACAGCAGTACCCACAGTACCAGCAGCAGCAGAATCGTTATTATCTGCAGCAGCAGCAGCGGCAGACCTGGTCAGCCACAACAGCTATGGCATCTAGCAGGCATCTGCTGCATACAGCTACTTCACGAGCCACTGCAGCCGTACCCATGCCACATGCTTCTGTTACCATGCCACATGCTCCTGTTGCCATGCCACCAACTATGGCAGCCATGCTTGTTGCGGGTTACCAGCATCAGCTGCAATGGGTACCAAGCCAGGTGATGCAGCTGCAAAAGAACCAGCAGGAATGGCTTCAGTTGCACATGATGCAGCAGCAGCAGCAGCAACAGCAGGGAATGAGCTACATGCGGTAGAGAGCCACTGTATCTGTGCCCATGCCACATGGTCCTGTTACCATACCACATGCTCCTGCTTTTATTCTACATGCTCTTGTTACCATGCCACCTGCTCCTGTACCTTTGTCACGAGTTACATCAGACGTGCCTGTTGCAAGCTATCAGCATCAGCTGCAATGGGTACCAAGCCAGGTAATGCAGCTGCAGAGGAACCAGCAGGAGCGGCTTCAGCATATTCAGCAGCAGCAGCAACAGCAGGGAATGAGCTACATGCGTTAAAGAGCCACTGTATCTGTGCCCATGCCACATGGTCCTGTTACCATACCACATGCTCCTGCTATTATGCCATATGCTCCTGTTACCATGCCACCTGTTCCTGTACCTTTGTCACGAGTTACAGCAGGCGTGCCTGTAGCAGGCCACCAGCATCAGCTGCAATGGGTACCGAGACAGGTGATGCAGCTGCAGAGGAACCAGCAGGAATGGCTTCAGCTGCACATGCAGCAGCAGCAGGGAATGAGCTAGTACATGCGTTAGGGAGAGACAGGTCAGTTAAATGCTGATTGTGCACATGCTGGCAGGGGAATATGTAAGCTATTGATGATGCTGGTAGGCTTTAGCTAACTTGAGGTTTCGTTTGTTTTTTCGCAACTGTAACTTTCCTGACCCCTCCCTTAACCGTAGTATGTCTCATCATGAATCGATTCCCGTTACAGATTGATGTCCTGAAACCAGCTGGGCTGTAAAATGTTTGCACTGGGGAAACTGCAAGGTGATGAAGGGACTCAGGGAGGCAATGTTATGTTTAACTTGCCATATCGTCTCTTCCCTCTCCAGTATTTGTTTGAACACTTAGGTACCGTATGTATGTATTGTACTGCATTGAGTGCACATGTGAATGATTCCACATCTGTGTTACAAAGGCTTGAATCAGTAAAGAAGCTTTACACTCATTACAAACACTGGCATATTAGTCACATCTACTCAAGACTTGGTTCAACATACACAATAAGATCATATACACCCAGATGTATCCTTCCTCTCTTCTGTGATTGGTTACTGTAGCAGACATGTTAGGCTGGAAGCGGTTCTTCACGAACTGCAAGAGAAAGGTAACATTGACGACGATAGAGGGGGGGCGAACAAGGGAGGTTTGACATCACATCCACACACCCTCATTGATTAGGCACCTTATTATTCACATGCATACATGCACCCATCCATTTACATGCAAAGCAGTCAAACGCCCATCCATAATGAAGCATATGCACACACTCATTCATGTCCGCATACCCATTCGCATAAATACACTTAATACTTTCAAGCGCATGTGCATATACACACTCATACTATCCGTCACATGTGCATATACACACTCACACTTCAGTGCGTGTGCACATATACTTTCAGTCGCACGTGCATATACACACATGCGTTCATGCAATACACGTGTGTAACACCTGTTCCGAGCCTGCATATCCACACAAACGCTGGCATGCGTGCCTACGCATGGTGCTCTGCCTTCAACCAACCCTTCATCCTCACACGCATAATCAGTCCCAGTCCCAAATGCAGGCTTCAGCTTAGCATAGCCAGATCGTGGCCACTGCCTCAATACAGAGGCTACCCCACGTGGTTGAGAAGAAATAGGTTTTTTCATCACAAGCCTGCCCTGACAAGAAAAACAAGACTGAAACCAACTTCTTTCGTCACTTCCCTTCTCATCCTCCTACCCTACTCAACCCCCTAAGATCTCCCCCCACCCCCCCTTCCTCTCCCTTTCTTCCTCACTGCGTCCACCTCAGCCACCGCTTGGACTGCTGAGAGCTCCTTGGCAAATAAAGCGATCTTTCAGTCGACTCAGAAGGTGGACTGCTGAGAGCTCCTTGGCAAATAAAGCGACCTTTGAGTCGACTCAGAAGGCGGACTGCTGAGAGCTCCTTGGCAAATAAAGCGACCTTTGAGTCGACTCAGAAGGCGGACTGCTGAGAGCTCCTTGGCAAATAAAGCGACCTTTGAGTCGACTCAGAAGGCGGACTGCTGAGAGCTCCTTGGCAAATAAAGCGACCTTTGAGTCGACTCAGAAGGTGGACTGCTGAGAGCTCCTTGGCAAATAAAGCAACCTTTGAGTCGACTCAGAAGGCGGACTGCTGAGAGCTCCTTGGCAAATAAAGCAACCTTTGAGTCGACTCAGAAGGCGGACTGCTGAGAGCTCCTTGGCAAATAAAGCGACCTTTGAGTCGACTCAGAAGGCGGACTGCTGAGAGCTCCTTGGCAAATAAAGCGACCTTTGAGTCGACTCAGAAGGTGGACTGCTGAGAGCTCCTTGGCAAATAAAGCAACCTTTGAGTCGACTCAGAAGGCGGACTGCTGAGAGCTCCTTGGCAAATAAAGCGACCTTTGAGTCGACTCAGAAGGCGGACAGCTGAGAGCTCCTTGGCAAATAAAGCGACCTTTGAGTCGACTCAGAAGGCGGACTGCTGAGAGCTCCTTGACAAATAAAGCGACCTTTGAGTCGACTCAGAAGGCGGACTGCTGAGAGCTCCTCCTTGGCAAATCAACCAGTACGGGCACTTGCGTCCCCCCTCCCCGTATCACACTCTTTCTCTCAGACACAAACATACCGACACAGAGAAACACCCTGACCTGCAACCTAGCACACCCACGCACCTCGTTCTCTGCTCATTCCGTTCTAGCCTCACCAGACACAGAAGATGCAGTAATAGTGACATCCCCTTCCCCTCCTCACACCCCCCCTCTCCCGCTTCCCCTCCTCACACCCCCCCTCTCCCGCTTCCGCTCTAGCCAGTGCATTGACTGGCAGGGCTTTTGGCACATTAGGCAGCACCAGCAGGCAGCGCCTCCGTATCAAGCCCAGGCAGCTCCCCCAGATACAGCCCTTTCTTCCGCTCACATCTTTCGCATTCCCTTCCTTCACCTGCCCTCCAGACATGCACACACATGCAGACAACCAAGCATGCCAGCAACACCACTCACCTCGTTCTCTGTTCGTTCCATCCTCAGCCTCAGCCTCAGCCTCAGCCTCAGCAGCCGCACCAGCAGCCTCCCTCCCTTCCGCCTCCGCTTCCTCTTTAGCCGGTGCTTTAACTGGCGGCTCCTTTGGCACATCAGGCAGCAAGAGCACTTGGTCCAATTTCAGCCCCTCCCACCCTTCCCCTCCTTCCTACTACATTCCTGACCTGCCCTCCAGACATGCACACACACGCATGCTAGCAGGAGCACTCACCTCGTTCTCTGCTCGTTCCATCCTCAGCCTCAGCAGATTCAGCAGCACCCTCCTCCTCCGCTTCCTCTTTAGCCGGGGCTTTAACTGGCGGCTCCTTTGGCACATCGGGCAGCACGGGCACTTCAGGCACGGCAGGCAGCTCCTCCTCCACCTCCTTCATTGCGAGCTGGGTGGGAGACACGGGGGGCAGGAAGCAACAAGGAACACGAATTGAATCAGCACACTGGCACACATCCGGCAGCAGAGGCACTTCAAACAAAGCAGGCAGTTCCTGCTCTATCTCCTTTATAGCGAGCTGGCTGGATGGGAGAAAGGCGGGAGGGGAAGAATGAGCAAGCACAAGGGTGGTCAGGCTAACAAACTGCTCAATCCCGTCAGCCTAAACACCCACAGCATGTGCACAATAACCCCTACCATCAGCAAAATCACTCTTAGCATACCATCAGCTTACACATCCCTCACGTCAGCCTATTTCTCACCCTGAGCTCCCCTCCCGTACTCTCTCCCGTCCTCTGCTCCCCTCACTCCCCTGCCTCACCCACCATTCAATCTCCCCCCTCTCTCAGATCTCCCTTTGCCCCGGCCTTCTTGCCCTCTAAGATCTGTCTCCCCCTCACCCTCACCCTCACCCTCTCATCTCGTTTCATAAGTTATTTCCTCCCTCTCTCCCCCCCACCTCCCTCTCCCCCTTCACCTTTGTCCTCCCTCAATTCTTTCTTTTCCCCTCTCCCCCTCCCCCGTCCTCCCCCCCTCCCTCACACCCCCAACCTGTCTCCCTTACAGACTCCATCTTTCCCTCATCTCTCTCTCCCTCACCTCTGTACCCCCTCACCCATGTTTCCCCCTCACCTCCGTCTCTAGTGCTTCCAGCTCAGCAAGGGCTGCTTGGGCATTGCACCTGGCTTTCCCCTCGACTCTCTTCCCCCTAACCCCTCTTCCCCCTCACCCCTCTTCCCCCTAACCCCTCTTCCCCCTAACCCCTCTTCCCCCTAACCCCTCTTCCCCCTAACCCCTCTTCCCCCTCACCTCTGTCTCCCCCTCACCTCTGTCTCCAGTGCCTCCAGCTCAGCAAGAGCCTCCAGCTCAGCCTCCTCTGACAGCGCACCCGCCAGCATGGCAGCCACCTCCTGATTGGCCGAGGTAGGGAGGGAGGACAGCAGGTCGCGGTGGAGGGGGGGTGTGGGAGAAGTAGAGAGCGGTTGATGGGGGAGAGGACGGGTTTTGAGGCGCCTCAAAAGGTGTGGGAGAAGTAGAGTGCGGTTGATGGGGGAGAGGACGGGTTTTGAGGCGCCTCAAAAGGTGTGGGAGAAGTAGAGTGCGGTGTGGTGGATGGGGGAGAGAACGAGAAAAAGGGAGAGGGAGAAGAAGGGGGGGAGGAAGATGAAAGGGAGGAGGTAGAGAAAGAGCAAATAGACGAGGAAGGTAAAATGGGAACAGGAAGAGGAAAAAGAAGAGAACGTGAGTGAAACAGGTAGAACCATTGCTACATTTCCATCAACAAACCATCTTTTCTTCTTGCTCATCCGATCCAAGGATGCATGTGCCAAGCACATCTGACCATGCATGTGCCGAGCACATCTGACCATGCATGTGCCAAGCACATCTGACCATGCATGTGCCAAGCACATCTGACCATGCATGTGCCATGCACATCCGACCATGCATGTGCCATGCACATCCGAGCATGGATGTGCCATTCACATCCGACTAGGCATGAGCACAGTACCGAACCGGTTCGGTTAGGTAATTAGGCTTAACGAACCGGGCCGGTTCGTTACCAAACCGAACCGGTTCGTTTACGAACCGGTTTCTGGCACCCCGGTTCGGGGTTTGTTATTTCGTTTAACGAACCGGGCCAGTTCGGTTTGTTCGCGAACGGTACTGGTTCAGTAAGCTACATGTGAAAGGGTAAACAATAAGCTACCTTCACGACCCAGTTCGGTTCGGCACGACTCGGAAAGGTCGCACTACCGAACCTTACCGAACCGAACCAGCGAACCGGTTCGTTCGGGAACCAGTTTGGCCCGTTCACAAACCGTGTCAAAAACTAGGGATGAGCAAAGGGCGAACACGAACATGTTCGTCTTCGCCCCTTGTCGAACACCCTCTTTTGCCGAACCGAACAGTGTTCGGTTCGGCGAACAGTTTAGGAAAAAACAGGTGTTCGCTGTTCGCCTGTGGAGGCGTGTTCGGGCGAACCTCGAACACTGTTCGTGTTCGTCGCGGGCAAATTTCAGCAGCGGCCCGAACACGAACGTGTTCGGGCGAACATCGAACACTGTTCGGCGAACGATTTGAGCTAAAAAACAAAACCTGTTCGGTTCGCCTCGAACACGTTCGAGGCGAACCGAACAGGTGTTCGCCACCTTGCTCATCCCTATCAAAAACATCCCGGTTTGGTTCGCCCTTTATGCGAACCGAACGGAACCGACCGTGGTTCGATTTTTGTTCATGTCTACATCCAGCCATGCATGTGCCATGCACATCCGACCATGCATGTGCCATTCACTTCACCACTCCACTGTACGTCCTCCAAACTAATCTTCTTTGTAGCTCAGCTCCTGTCTTGTGTTGCTCCGAGCCGTCACACATGCCTACAAAATTGCTCAACGTGCCTCAGTAACCTACTCCACCTGCTCTGCTGTGCTTTCCCCCGGTCCGCGCCCAGCTCACGGCGGCAAGCAATGCCAACATTATTAGGCGCGGTTCAGCTCAGCGCACCTCTTTTGCGCCGTTTTCCATTCCCTCGACCAACGTGCTTGGTGCGACCGCTACTCTTTCAAAGGATGCAACGCCAGTGCAGGGTCAACAGGATGGAGCGACGGCAGAGGCGGCATGGGATGCACGCATGCAGGCGGGGATGGCGGAGGCAAGCACAATGCCATGTGTTGTCTCGCCGCCGCTGCCAGGCGAAGCCATCTGCGAAAATCAGGCGATCAGGATGACACCCGAAAGGATGCTCTCTCAGCACGCGCAAGCACAAGCAGCGGCCGCCGTCGCTGGTGGCCTGCTCTGCGTTCTGCGAGAGCATCCTCCCGAAGTTTCATCCTGAGCGCCCAATGCACGCACATGGCTTCGCCTGGCAGCAGCGGCCACACAACGCATGGCATTGTAGTTGCCTCTGCCATCCCCGCCTGCGTGCTTCCATCTCGGGCCGCCTTTGCCGTCGCTCCATCCGGTTGACCCTGCACCGACGTCACATCCTTGGAAAGAGTAGCGGTCGAACCAGGTATGTTGATCGAGGGAATGGAAATCAGTGCAAAAGGGGTGCGCTAGGCTGAACCGCACCTCGTTGACTTTTGAGTCGACTCAAAAGTCATCGAGGGAATGGAAATCAGTGCAAAAGGGGTGCGCTAGGCTGAACCGCACCTCGTTGACTTTTGAGTCGGCTCAAAAGTCATCGAGGGAATGGAAATCAGTGCAAAAAGGGGTGCGCTAGGCTGAACCGCACCTCATAGTGGGCGCTGTTGCCGTCAGCTAGGCACGGGCTGGAGGAAAGCACCGCACGTGATGCCTCAGGCGTGCCTGTGCCATTTGAGGCCGCAAAAATTGCTCAACATGCCTCAGTAACCTACTCCACCTGCCCTGCTCTGCTTTATTTGTTGTACAATGCACCCTTGTCTTGAAACACCTTGGCGTCTTCCGATTTGCAAAGCAGCTTCTCCACGTCCTCCAGACTCATTTCCTTGTGCAACAGCCCTGAATTGTTCCGATCCAAGGCCCCCTCTTACCCCGTGCCTCAAGTCGCCATCAGACGGCGTTCTCTGACTCCCTCAGCAGCTTCTCCACGACCTCCAGACTCATCTCCTTCTGCAGCAGCTCGAAAAATCCGTGACACCTTCACCCCCCTTCCCAAACCCGTGCTTCAAATAGGCGCCTAACACCACCTGCCCTGCGAACTCACGTCTTGGAACGCCTTGGCGTCTTCCGACTCCCCCAATAGCTTCTCCACGTCCTCCAGGCTGATCTCCTTTTGCAGCTCCTGAATCGCCATGTGCCCCGCCTTCAGGCTCTCAAACACTTGAGCCTGCCGACTCGTAATCTCGATGTCTGCAAGCTGTGAAAGAGAGAGGTTGAAAGCGAGGGAGAGAGAGGAAGGGAGGGGGGAGAGAGGAGTGAATAATTCGAACTCGTCTCTTTCTGCAGCTCCTGAATCGCCATGTGCCCCGCCTTGCGGCTCTCAAACACTTGAGCCTGCCGACTTGTGATCTCGATGCCTGCAAGCTGTGAAAGACGGGGAGAGAACCGGAGAGAGTAATGGAGAGAGTAAGGGAGAAAGAAGGGGAGTACAAAGGGAGGGGTGATCTCTCTTGCTCCATGGATCCCCAGGCGCACCACCCCACCCCCCCAACCCCTCCACCCCACACCCCCCCAACCCCTCCACCCCGCACCAACCCCCCACCCCCCCAACCCCAATCCCTCCACCCCGCACCACCCCACCCCGCCGACCCCCCCACTCCGCGCCCCTCCCACCCCTCCACCTGCCCCCTCCCCTCACCCTTCCCCCTCCCCCTTCCCCCTTTCCCCCACCCCGTGTCCAGTTAGATAGGTGCTTATCTGCTGCTCCACTCGCAGCGCCCACAGCTTCTGATTCCGCCAGCGCGTCCCCATAGACCTGCTTCCGCTTCAGCATCAATCATCGCACTTTGCACCTCCTTCTTTCCCTCTTCGAATCACTCTTACCTACCCGCCAATCAAGCCTCCCTCGCCCCATACGACACTTTTCCGTTCAAAAAGCGCTCACCTGCTGCTCCCACTCGCAGCACCACTCGTCCGACTTCGCCGCCAGAAGCGCGCGCACCCACCCTAATCTACTTACCTCAAAGTCAACTCATCCCCCACCTGCTGCTCCACTCGCAGCACCCACGCGTCCGATTTCGCGAGCGCGTCCGTCTGAAGCTTCTTCTTCTTGAGCGCCAGCAGCGCGCGGTCCTTCTTGCCCTCCTTGATCATCTGCCGCACCACCTCCTGCTCCCGCTCGATAACTGCACCGACCTTCAAACGGGGATAGAAAATATTGCGTCCGTCTGGAATGGAGTTGAGGCTTGAACGAGACGAATTTAACAGAGAATGTTACGCTGGTTACACGAAACGCAATTAGATAACAAATTTCCAAGTATCGAAGGATAATAACAAGTGGATCGATCCTAACACCTTCTAAATACCGTGGGATCACGGCAAGCGGATCGACCCTACCTTCTTCTGGTATTCCGCTAGCTTCCGCTTCTGCGTTCGCAGCGACAGTATCGCCTTATCGACATCGGTAACAGCTTTGCGCTTTGAGAACAGTGCTCCCATATCTGGAAAACGGTGAGGGCTGCCAGTCGCAGTGCAGAACGCCGAATAATAAAACACGTCACGAATACGTGAAGAATATGTACGGTCGTTGTAAGAGCAGTGGGAGAACGATCAACGCAGACTGGCGAAGTGGAAATTCGTTGGAGTTGTCAGTGCGATGGTGAATCTGAGATGAGAAAGTCGCTGGTTACGGAAAGCTAGCTAGAACATAGGCTCACAGCGTAAGAGCAGCATCTAAGATGGCGTTCCCACGGTTTGGACAAGACGTGAGTCTGCCCACGCGGCTTGTAATTCGGCGGGATGGTGTCCACGGTGAGGTACTTCCCCACTTTGAACACGCAGTGTTTTATGCTCAAAATTCGCAAATTCGGCTTCAATCTCGCCTCCAATTACAGAGCAGAACGAATTTTCGCCAGCCGTAGCGAGTTCAAGCATTGATTTTCAGGTGTATTTCTCCAAGTAGTTTTGTTGTTCAAGCGTGGAGTTGACTTTTTGTTCTGTACGGGAAGAGAGTTTCTTCTCGATTTTTGAAACGCTTTCGCCCCAAAAGTGATTCGTTGCCCTGCCCTTCGACTGCACTTCACTCCATGGTTTGCGGATGTTGTCGTCAGACGTTCGATTGAGTAACCATGATGGATCTTACGACCCAGATTGTTTGTACATGGTGTCTAGACCTGGAGTCGCAACCATTCAATTTTAGGACGTGTCTCACTTCCAACGAGTCTGCGAGCCGGTCCGTTCTTGGAAATGCTGCACCCCAAAACCGTGGACTGGTCCGCCGGACCAGGTTGAGTCCGTACTGGCGAACCAGCTTCGGACTGGTCCGCTGATGAAATCTACAGTGGCGTGAAAAGACGACTGTTCAGGAGTCCGACGTGGACCAGCTCGCCGAACCAGTCAAGACTCCCCAATACAGTCCTTTTCCGTCGTTAAAACACGCGGGTCCACGCTCCGGTCCACGCTCGGGTCCGTGGTGGTTTGGTGGACTGGTCCACGTCGACCGCCTAGATCCAGCGTGGACCGAAGATTTTGAGACATACTCTTAAGGGCGTGCTCGTTTTGTCAAATTGGACAAATTTCATGTTTTGGGGACGATTTTTTTAAACCTAAGTCGAATGGAATTCGACTTTCCTTGTAGCGAAGTTCGAAAATTGCGGGAATAACGCTGCAAAGAAGCAATCACACACGCAAGGTCGAACACCAGAATTCGAACTTTATGTTATCTGGTACTTGCTCGCCAAGTCAAATTAATGCCGTAGTATGTTTCGCGATGAAGTCGTCAACTTCGCATGGTGTTCGTGCGTGCCGAAAACACACACGCTCACATGAACGTGCTCACGCCCGTTCACAACGCCAACTCGAGTCATGTTCATATTTCAAGCTCGAACTTTCATTAGGCCTGAAATTCGCGATGTTCGTCACACGTTCTTGACGAGATTCGCGAAAAAGGTAACCACCTAAAGTTCGAACTTGGAAACGGAACAAACGCGCAAAAGAAACATTGGAAAATTGCAACACGCGTGGGCAGACTCACACTTGTCCTAACCGTGGGAACCTTCCCTCAGCTCTAGCTAGTAGCCTCTTTTGTGCTCATTCACATTCCGCTGAAAAGAGCTTGCAGCTAACCTCGATGTTGCTGTTCTGTTCCATAGTCGTCTCAAGCACCCCAGAAACGAAACCCAACCCAACACCTTAAGCTCTTCGATTCGCGCTCATAACGCTTCGGTTCTGTCTGGTTGAGGGAGTTTTTTGCATTCAGTTCAGTGCAGAGTGGTGTGCTTGTTTTCTTTTGGCGATCGGTTTCGGTCGAACCTGGTAGCATGACGAACGCGGTCGAACGCAAACAAAACGCAGATTGAGACCCGAAGTTCGGCTCTCGGGTCAAAGGGCAGGAGTGCATTCACGAACCAAGCCCAACAGGTGCTCACAACTCACGAGATGCAGGCCGTTCGCTTTCGTTTCAAGTACCATGGTTCCGTTCGGTGCGTTGCGCTCCATAACGGTACACGAAGAAACCTCTGTAACGCGTGGAATCGCACTGAACCGCATTGACCAACACATCACACACCACCCCGAAGGGATTGCGAATTGCGAGAGGTAGCCAAGACACACACCCGCACATCAAGGGAAGGGACACCTGAGTCCAAATGCACCAGCCATCCATGTCGGCGTGGAGCCCGGTCAGGAGCTCGTGACGTGACTCGTCAGTCCATTCGCTCAGCGGAGAAATTGAATGCTATTTCGTCCTGCACGCTGTATTATTTTCGTATCCGTTCTCCTCGTTTATAGCCTCGCGAACGCCGTCATGCTCGGCTGGTTGGGTCTAGGGCAAGTCCAGCCCGAATTTTACGCGGACGAGTACTCGCCAGAGGTTGACTTATCAGGTATGCGGATTTGAACTCTGTTTGCGACGTTCGCATTCAATGTCGTTGTTAACGAAGGCCGCATGGAATGCGACGATTGGGATAAATGCGATCCCATTGGCCCGTCGACATGCAACATAAGCGGACTTCAGAGTAGTGGGGGCTATCAGGTGCTCCCGGGCCGTGTTAATCCGTCGTACGCATTGGCATTTGTTGTCTAGGTAACGGATTTCACCTTCTCTGCTGAGGTAACAGCTGGTTGATTGGCATTCCGTCGCGTCAGGTGCTGCGTTGAGCTCTTCCGCCTATGCTGCAATTCTCATTCTGCGCCTGATTTTGCTGGTGAAAATCGAAACTAGAAATTTCATATACTCTGGTGCTGCATTTGCCTCCTCCCAATGCTGTGCTCTGCCTGTCGCCATGACATGCGCTGCTGTGTTGCCTGTGGCAATTTCCGGATTGCAATGTGAACGACATGTGCCGTTGTTTGATGAACAACGTCCTGTCTCATCTCACATTGCGAAATGTAACAGAGTTACCACATGGAGAGGAGGCCTCGGAGCTGCTCAGTTGTGACGTCTGGAAGGAACCTCTGCCTCTTGGTATTCTCTCACCCTCACACTCTCACACACACAAGTGTGCACGCATACTCGCGCTTGCACGCGCGCGTGCGCACACACGCACGCACACGCACGCACGCGGCGCGTGGCGTGCGCGCTCGTTCACACACACATGAGCACGCGTGTGCACACACACACACACCACAACCCATGTGATGCTCATTCGTACAATCTTCCTTCCCACATGCCCTTTTAGGCTTTTCCCTGTTTTCTGCCCTTCCCTTCCCTTTTGTCTCTAACCCTCAGCTGTACAATGCGAAACCTGGAATGCCGTTTCTCGTAAACTCGTCGTTGAATGCACACCTGCAATGCAATACAACGCAAGCATTGCCATAAATTAGTGCCTTGATTGATACACAATGTGAAGCCATGATTGGAATTCCATACGATGCATTTTTCTACTACATCCGTGCCCGATGGCAGGTTCGGAGCGGTTGAGAGCGTTGCTGCGGATCAACAACTTCAGAGACGAGCTGCGCGCCCTCAGGCACCACTTTCTGGGCACCAGAGAGCTCAGGTGCGCTTCTTGGGTGGGCCCCTGCTTTTTCCCGTGCTATCGTGCGCACTCTCAGGAGCAACCC